CCTTTTCAGTTGGTCTGTCTTGCTTGCTTAATGAATAAGAGATTGATTCGGTATCTAGCACTGATGGGTCTGAAAAGGTTGGGTGGATTTTTAGATTGAAGCAGGACGTGATGGTGAGTTCCGAGCATATGAGGAAACCGAAGAAGGCCAATATGAACATGGTGTCGAGCATGCGGGCATTGTGAATGGAGTGGTAGCCTCTGCGAAGGATGGAAATGCATTTGGTTAAGATACCTAGAGTTATTGGCTGTGTAGCGTCTGGGCAGGGGGTTGGGCTCTTTGGATGCCTTTGATGAGCATGGATGTCTGTGAGCTGGCTATTTCTGTGGAGGGTGAGCCAAACAAAAATTTAATTCCACTTAGGTAGCCTTTGATGGAGCTGGCTTGGAGATTTTTGTTGGTGTTGAGATGGGAGATGAATGAGGTGATGGTGAGGCATCACCATCTTAAGTAGGATTGGAGGGTCCTGGGGGAGACGACCTGGAGAATAGATCTGTTTTTTTTTTTTTTTTTTGTGGGTGACTTACGGGAATATCGGCACCAGCAGCCTGTATTCCTGGAAAGCAGAAAGAGAGAGAGTGTCAGCTATTTGATTTTTGGGTCCAGGATTGCATTTAAAGGGGTCATATGATGCTTTTTTAAAGATCATTAGTGCTTTTGCCTTCGCCTAGAAACACACAGCGTCTCCCTGACATGGCTGCTTCAACACTAACTGCGGTTACTGAAACCACGCCTTCTTTCTTTGCGTGAACATTTGGGCGGCATTATGCAAATATTTCCTGTAGGCCACGGGAAAGTGGAAAGTTTAGTGACATTTAGTGGGACAAGCTGAAAGGCCTGGGTAGCCTGCAGTGTTGCCGACTTAGCAATTTATTGCTAGATTTGGCAGTTCCTCAAGCCTTGTCCACATTAATATGTTTCCGTTGAAAACTCATCCTTTCCTCTCGTTTTGGCCTTCCATCCACACTAAGACAAGGAGTCCAGGAAAACAGCTCTTGAAATGCTCTCCAGAGCAGATAAATTTGAAAATGCTGTTTTCACGTTGTAGTATGGACTGTGGAAACGATGGCGCATGTTTAGTCATGTGACGCATATTGTACCAATAGACATGTTTATACTGGTAACGTTAATTGTGCAGTTATGTGCTATTCACTTTCACACTTTTGCTAAAGATATTTACTTTGCACATTCTTCATAATACAGTCCTAAAAAGACGACAGAAAATTTACTCCCTATTGCTGTCCTGCGGCAAAACACGAGGGCAGTTGCATTTTAGATCCATTCTGAGTGAGCGTGCCACAGTGAATGATGAAATATGTCCGTCAATTAATTGATCCTGCCAGAAGAATTGCGTGAAACTTATTATGTCTGTTCTGTCTGTATCATCTCAGTGAGGTTTTATACATGCACAGTAAGGCGAATGTAACGCTTTCAGACATTTCAGTGCGGATGATAAACTTTGGAAAAAGGCCTTGTTTGCTTCATGGTTACAAAATGGCATCTACACCCGTTTATGTCATAACGTCGCTTAACAAACTTTAGCGACTTCACCTGAAAAGGAATTAATTTGCAACGGCCTGCGCTGCTAGCGGAGGCAGCCTGAGAAGAGCTGCGGTGGAAGGCTGAGCCAAAGCGGGAAGCGAGTGAGGCATTGCTGCGGTGAGAACTGCGACGCGGCCCAGGCTCGTTGAGGGCCTGCTGCTGCTGCGACCCAGTGCTCGAGGAGAGCCGGGTCTTGTGCGGGACGATGGTGGTGTCGAGCGAGGCGAGCTCGGGGCTTTGCATGGTCTATTGGCCGCCTTGGTGGCTGGAGTGGATTTAGGAGTGAGGTTGGCTAATTTGCAGGGTGACGAATAGATCGTACAGATCCACTTTGTTTACCCTCTGCGAGAACGGTGCATTGGAAAATGAGCATTTGCCTCAGGCTTAAATACTGTCCACTTTCCGATCCGAGGATTTGCTGGTAAGGCTGAATGATACAAGGATGCCAGGGAAGTTGGAAGTCTTGCCAGTGGAGGCGAGGTTAAGCGTCGGCGTTGTGGAGAGCGTGTGGCTGGTCGAGAAAAGCAGCAGCCAGATCATGGAGCCGGCAAATTGTGGCTGAGGGATCTTAAAAAAATCCCCAGTATCGGTCTCGTCGTTGGACGGGAAAAAATTGGATCTATGATAAAAAGGCAAAAGGAGCGAACCGAATGCTGGAATACTGTAGAGAGAATGAAGGTAAGCTGGCTTGAGCTATTTATAGAAGTTCTCTCTCGAGCTGATAGTATAGATGGTGTAATTGCTCATGATGAATTGGCCAGGTTAATTATCTGAACGTGCTCCTCCCGAACTTTGTTAATAAAACATCATTTCACCTGTGTTCAGTTAATTTAGTCATTAGTCCCTCTTTTGCATTTGTATTTATACTCCCTGTTCTGTTCTCTTCTTTGCCAGTTATTGTTTTGTTCAATTGTGTTTTGTGCTACTCCCTGCTTCTGGATTCCTTGTGTTTACTTTCCTGTGGATTTATTATTAAAAGACTGTTTCTTCGATTACTCTTTTGTCGTGTACTTGTATAGCACAGAACCATGACAAGTTAAGGTTAGCTCTTGATTAGTACATGCCTTCATTTATTATTAGTTCATATTAGTGAGGTTTTATACATGCACAGTAAGGCGAATGTAACGCTTTCAGACATTTCAGTGCGGATGATAAACTTTGGAAAAAGGCCTTGTTTGCTTCATGGTTACAAAATGGCATCTACACCCGTTTATGTCATAACGTCGCTTAACAAACTTTAGCGACTTCACCTGAAAAGGAATTAATTTGCAACGGCCTGCGCTGCTAGCGGAGGCAGCCTGAGAAGAGCTGCGGTGGAAGGCTGAGCCAAAGCGGGAAGCGAGTGAGGCATTGCTGCGGTGAGAACTGCGACGCGGCCCAGGCTCGTTGAGGGCCTGCTGCTGCTGCGACCCAGTGCTCGAGGAGAGCCGGGTCTTGTGCGGGACGATGGTGGTGTCGAGCGAGGCGAGCTCGGGGCTTTGCATGGTCTATTGGCCGCCTTGGTGGCTGGAGTGGATTTAGGAGTGAGGTTGGCTAATTTGCAGGGTGACGAATAGATCGTACAGATCCACTTTGTTTACCCTCTGCGAGAACGGTGAATTGGAAAATGAGCATTTGCCTCAGGCTTAAATACTGTCCACTTTCCGATCCGAGGATTTGCTGGTAAGGCTGAATGATACAAGGATGCCAGGGAAGTTGGAAGTCTTGCCAGTGGAGGCGAGGTTAAGCGTCGGCGTTGTGGAGAGCGTGTGGCTGGTCGAGAAAAGCAGCAGCCAGATCATGGAGCCGGCAAATTGTGGCTGAGGGATCTTAAAAAAATCCCCAGTATCGGTCTCGTCGTTGGACGGGAAAAAATTGGATCTATGATAAAAAGGCAAAAGGAGCGAACCGAATGCTGGAATACTGTAGAGAGAATGAAGGTAAGCTGGCTTGAGCTATTTATAGAAGTTCTCTCTCGAGCTGATAGTATAGATGGTGTAATTGCTCATGATGAATTGGCCAGGTTAATTATCTGAACGTGCTCCTCCCGAACTTTGTTAATAAAACATCATTTCACCTGTGTTCAGTTAATTTAGTCATTAGTCCCTCTTTTGCATTTGTATTTATACTCCCTGTTCTGTTCTCTTCTTTGCCAGTTATTGTTTTGTTCAATTGTGTTTTGTGCTACTCCCTGCTTCTGGATTCCTTGTGTTTACTTTCCTGTGGATTTATTATTAAAAGACTGTTTCTTCGATTACTCTTTTGTCGTGTACTTGTATAGCACAGAACCATGACAAGTTAAGGTTAGCTCTTGATTAGTACATGCCTTCATTTATTATTAGTTCATATTAAACTAAAATATAGTTTCAACCATATAGCCTGTGAATTAATAAAAATGCATACTTTTCATAGGTTGCTTCTGGTGCTTGGATTTGTACTTCAATATAATGAGGTCCAAGTTTAAGAATAGCCTACACTCGTTTTTTTTTTCAATATATTTTTTCTCTCTCTATTTAACAGCATTAACATACATTGAAATACGTCTTCGTTCAGGAAGACTGAATGTTTTCCTGCCTTGCTAAATGTTGGGCTCATGATCAATAAGTTGCATTCGCCCAAACTGATTTTGTAAAATCAAAACACGGACAGTGAACCTGGGTGCAGCTCGCTATGAAGCGGGAGCAGCCTGCAGAGGATTCCGCTTGGTCTTAAAGCCTTCCTTCAAACGCCTACGTTCACAAATAACAATGATTTTCACAAAAAGAATGATTAATTATCAATTGAGAATTTGTTATTATTATGGTCTGGTGAAAAAAATTATATGGGCTGCGAGAAAATAATAAATAAAAAGAGTAGGGCTGCTGTGAGTGCAGGCAGCATATTTCAACCCAGTAGCATGACAACACGCCGGCCCTTGTTGCCAAAAAACAGACCGGCCCACCGGGAATCCTCCTGGTGCTCCCGATTAGCCAATCCGGGCCTGCTCACACTAGACACAGTTGCCTTGTACCGAGCCCAATTTTTATAAGTAGTGTAGCCTAGTGTGAGTAAAAACCCAGAGTATGACCCAAGATGAATCAAATATAAATAAGCCAAACAATGGAGGACATAAATGGCAGAGTAGTCCTGCTATGATCGATATTGTGCAGAAATTACGTAGTGGAGAAAGCTGCTTATTGAACAAACCATATATATAGAGGAGTAAAGTGTACACCAGTCACATAGAGCATATATAATAAACATGATAAAAAATAAACTGTGAATGGCTTTGTTTTCCATGCAAATTACCTATAATATGACTGTCACCAAAAAATCTGTCCCCATGTGGCCATAGGAGACATTGCTGCCAATTTGGATTCCTAGTAGCAGGGGAGTGGCTTTAAACACAAAAATGGTTGGGGGTGGAATCTTTTGTAAAACTATACGATTTCCAGACCATAAAAACTGAACCATTTATTCATTTCACCATTCAGTGTTAACAGATCTTGAGGCTTGACAAAATCTCTCTCACTTTTGAACAGGGTAAGACAATTGCATTTAGGATCATTTGATCAATAGTCTTTTGAAAATTATGATTAGAAAAGTAAAATCTAGGACAACATGATTTCAATTATTATTACCTTGTCAAATAACTCTCATTTTTAAAATATTTATTGACACTCCCTTTTGTGTTTGTGTGTGACAGGAAAAATGAACCAGCTCCACAGATACAAGTAAGATATATATGTGATATATAATAACTGCATAGTGTATATAAATAGTATTTTTAATATTTCTTTAATTGCAAGATGACAGCAATTGTGCTGCATATATACCATTAAAATGTGTTTTTACGTTTTCAATATTTTTGCCTCCCCTAGTACCTGCGGTGTGAAGGATGTGCAGTCTATGGAGGCAGTTTCTACATCTCTAAATGAGGGAATCGTCTCTATCTATAACATCTGCAAGTCCCTCAAGGAAGCACGTATCAATCCCACCACTGACACATGCTCCAATTACAACCAAATTAGGGAACATATAAAGCATGCTGAGCAGTACTTGAAAACATCAGAGAAAATGATTAAAGGAAAACTGGGAGATTTGGATGAAAGCATGTGCCAAATTATTAGAGAGAAACAAAATGTTGAGCAACGGAAAAAAGAGAAAAATCTGGCTTTGGATAATTTATACATAAAAAATAAATCTGCTGTGCAATCATTGAAGTATTCCAAAGAGGCTTTGGAACAGGCTGAAAGAAGTGTAGAATCAGCAAATTATGCCATAAGAGTACATCAAGACAGGATGAACACATCCAATGATGTCGCAACTGCAGGGGCAATACTGTGTGCAATACCAATTTTTGGATGGATTGCTGGTAAGAATTTCACAACTCTTACAGTCACCTGAATTGGACATTTGTGAATTGGAAATTTTTGTGTTTTTTGAATGATGTGCATTCAAGAGGTATCTGTTTGTCTCTAGGTCCAATAATGATTAGTGAGGGACAGCAGGGATTTGAAGAATCTTTAAATGCCTTGAGAGCTGCTGAATGGGAAAAACAAAACTCTGAGTCTCAAGTGAGGAACTGCAATGCAAAAGTATCTCATTATAATGGAATAATCTCTAGGACACACAATGAAATTGAGCAGACCAATGAGGCTCTAAGGAGGATTGAGTGGAAGGTTAAAGAGATTCAAAAGCATCTAGAGGACACGGGAAATATTCAAAACATGGTCAGGAGAGCTGTGAACCTTCTGAGTGTTCTTAGTGGAAGAGTCAATGTACTGGAGAAGCAAACACAACATTTTGTCCTCTGGCAGCCTGTGCTGGAGGCCATGCAAGATGTGATAAAGGCAGTAGTAAATATTGCTGAGAATCGGCTTCTCTATAGAGATGGTGCACCAAGCCTTATAAATACTTTGAGGGAGAATGTTAGAGGACTACTGTCTTTATGCAACTCACCCAGTTATTCTGAATATGACAGTTATTACTGATCATCTCCATGTAACTCGCATAGCAAAGGCTTATAGAAGAAAGAGATTTATTGGTATTTTAGAAACCAAGTAACTCTGGAAATTATCTCCATAATGATGTATGACAGTGACTCTTGGAGTTGATTATTTTACCTTCTCTGACAAGACAGAGAAAGTAGAACATTTGGAATGATTTATACAACAGTACTTGCAAATTATGTTTTAGATGCACAAATAAATAAATAAAAAATGCTTTAATCACAATAAAACTGCTTTCATGAATCACTGTATTAAAATTATGAAATGATAAAAGTGGAATGCATAAGAATCTTATAATCTTATTCATTTAATCTTAATTAAGGCTAGATTAAAACACACAAAAACACACATACAGACACAACTCAGGGTTACAGTTAGGCACTTAAAATGAAAGTGAATGAGGCCAGACATAATGGCAATGCCATGACAACATAATTCCAATCAAAGTCCACATATCCAACTGGCCAAAAGCTCAATGCAGGTGCTCAACCCCCCCAAAAATAAATAAAAATTCAAACAGGAAAATCAAAGTTGGCACACCACAGCTCCAAAAGTAGAAAAATATTTAATTTAAGTTCTCACCACAGGTGACGTTTCGAGCCTAAAAGCTCTTCATCAGATGACAACATAATGCCTAAA